GTAGGTAAGAAAACACCTGCTGGACGTGATCCTCTACAGGAGGGGGAAAATAAATGGAAGAAAAGACCAATAAATTACCCCAACCAAGCCCACAAAATTACTGTCGGCACTCTGACATCTAGTCCAAAATAACTACTTCAAAACTCTAACAACCTCACAAGCACTTTAGATTCCTTTATCATCATCTAAAACCAACAGCAAGAAGTGATCTTTCCACTCACTCAGGTTCACAGAAGGCATAAGACCGCACAATAAAGGCAGAATCAAAAGCATAACTGAATAGAATACTGATCTTCGAATCCAGTATGGAAGCAATGTGCTCTGTTTCATCCCTTGTGATACGTTAACAGGTCCACAAAGAGTGAAGAACAAAACCAACGTAAAGACATTTAAGAGGAAATGCAACATGCATAGAATCTCCCAGTAGGAAAGCCAATAATATTCTTTTCCTCCCAAAGTATCTATGCAGAACTTCCCAGCCAAACCACAGGCAATTCCTAATAGCAACAGTATGACAGTGACTGGCATCGTCTGCTTTGAAGTTGCTGAACGCTGTATAAGCAAATAAGCTACTGCAAGAATCATCAAGACACCAAACATCATTTGGCTTACAACTTGAACCTGTCACTTGAGAGTGTGGAACCTGAAATTGAAAGATGCCACCGGCTTTGGGACCCACAGGACCTGGTTTCCTGAAAAAAATAAAAAGTCAAACCATCATATAAATTTGGGAAAGGTTTAAAACAATATTAGAGGGGAAACATCACGAAGAGAATATAATTTATTATGAATGGTGTGATAATGTGAGGCACCTAAAAGCAAAAAGATAAATATTGGAACAGATATTTATCTAGAACAGAACATGGCAACAGATGAATATTGGAGATGTAAACATGCATCAAGCCTAAAGATTAATTGTTGTTACCAAAATTTAGAAAGACAAACACCATATGGTATAAGGTGGGCAGTCTCTATAAAAGAAATTTTCCTACGTCTCATTCTTGTCCAAAGTGCAACTTGACACTGACATTAATTCCAGAAGCTTTAACCATTCATTTACTCCATAAACCACAGACTCAATTCCCACAGGCCTAAAGGCTACACAAATTTTCCACATAGAGTTATAGAGTAAGCAACTATCATAATTCATTGAAAATACAGCATTAGAAGATAAATTTTTCATGTGGTGTTGTTGAGGAATACCTTTCATGGGCTTGAGAAACTAGTTAAGGAGATAATTACCAAACTCATGAATCAATATTAAGAGGCACCTAATCTAATGCTCAAACATATCAAAAGAAATCAAAACATTGAACTTCTAACGCTCAAGAAAATCTTGGCAGGCAATTGATCAACTGAATCCAGGAAAGGAAGATCACTCTTACCTCAAGTGAAGGACTACAAGATGATGTAGCATCGGTAATCCTTTTGTAAGAGTAAACATAAGCACCATAAATAAGGAAGAATGACATGATGAGCAACCCAGCAACAAGACAATCAATGCACCTTTTAAGCAATTCAGCATGTTTTGTTTCTTCTAGCTGGTTCTTGAACTTTTCAGCTTTAAAGGATGCCTTTGATATACCCATTGCTAATTTTGATCTCTCCAAATGGTTTGAATCAAAGTTTAGAGCTAGCTGTTCCTCTTTCAACTTCAACTTTTTCATAGTAAGACCAAGCTCTAATGTCTTGAGGTCATTACAACGAACTTGCTCTATAACAGATTTATCAATTGTGCTAAGCAGTGACTGTTTACAACAGAACTTGTGCTTCAGTTGACACAAGCAAGTCAATTCACTTGTCCATGTAATGGCAAGTTCCCGATTCAGGAAATCAACTGGGATATTCTCCTGTACCTCTTCATGGATATTCAATAGATTCTGAGTTGCAATGGAAGGCAGCTCGACTTCTGATTGAGAATCCTTTATATCAGAAGAGCTTCTATAACATCCACTCTGCTTGAAGTTCCATCTGAAGTAGACCTTTCCACATTATTGGGTTTGATAGAAACTTTCCTAGTGCTCGGATGACTCATTAATCAATCTAAGAGTTCCTCAAGGTGCTTCCCAATGATTTCTCAAAATTCCTCACAAAACAATCAAAATTGTCTCCCAAAACCAGTGGCCAAGTGGACCATAGAAGCAAAAGGCATGTGGTCAATAAGTATCTTCGATAGTGTGATGCACATAAAAAGACATGAGGAAACTCAACTCGTAAAATGAGAGTCAGTTGCCGAGTCAGCAGTTTAAAGTCCGGCTTATATTGCTAAAGATTCCCTGATAGCTGAAGTGCAGATCTGCAAGCATGAAGATTGACTAACTTTCTTAACAAGCAAGACATTCTTAACTTCGGTAAAAACAAACCAGCTATCATGAGCATCCTGTCAGAGAATTAGGAGAATACCACTGAGAGATAATCAGAAGGCAGCCTTTCATTTGTGACATCTATCTTTTCCAGAACCTGGAATTACAAGGAACGAAGTTAACATAATCAACCAACAATTAATGTGAGATATTTACAAACTGAAGAAAAGTATAAGAATTGCCTTTCAAAAAATGTAGCCCTTTTTCTAATAGAGGGAGAGGGGATTCAAACTACCTTGACCCCTCCACTGCATGATAATAAACCAACTACGCAAAGTTTGGATTGTTTAATGACTATAGCCAAAACAGATAAAATAGGGAGTTGCATGGCAGACAGATAGAAATCGTTTCAGAAACTGTGTAAACTATAAATGATAAATCTGGCATAAATATTTTACAAGTACAAAAATATATGAATTCACTAACAAACTTCTATACTAGTCAGCAGAGATTATCGCCATCAAAAAATTAAAACAATTTTCGAAAATTGTCAAATAAAAAACCAAAATTTAACTTCAAAATTTCCTAACTAAAACAAAAACCCTACATTTACAACATAATTCTAACAATGCCCTCTCAAAAGGTTCGAATTTTTCAACTGAAAATCAACATTTCTATCATATGAAACCCATACATAATCAAAACTCACCAATTTTCCATTTACATAGGGTTAAAAAAAGTGTAAAAATAACAAAAGGAAAGAAAAGATTAAAACTTGATCGAACCTGAGCAACAACAGCCGCGAAGGAATTCCCAGAGGAAGCGCAATGACCTCAACGTCAGGAACCTCAGCTCACCGAACCAGACCGGGCCGAACCATTCGAGTCCGGCGTTTGATTGATACGCGCGTTCCTCTCTGAATAGAGGAAGAAGAACAAGCGGAGCAAGAAGAAGATCAGTGTGCCTCTTTAAAAATTGTTTTCTTCATTTTTCTTTATGTTGATGAGGGGTTTTTGAGATAGAAAATGATTTTGGACCGTTGAATTCGAGTCATAGTTAGGTGGTATGTAGATGTGCAAGCAGGGGATCCGTAGGGTTGCAGAGAAAGGGTAGAAGAAGAAAGGTCGTCCATTACAATAAACTTCTAAAGCGTAAATTTTGAATATCTCCTTTATTGTAATAAAAACGGTAAGAAGCGGCGTTGAAACGACGCCGTAAGAACATTTGAATTTCGTCTTGTGTTGTAAACGTTGACTGTTGTATATACGGCGTTTTGGCCCTTCTTCGGTAAAAAAATAGAATTATAAGTTTCGTATTTTTTACTGTATAAATAAAACTATAATTTTTTTTTTATTTTTCTACATTTATAATTATAAAACTTTTAAAATCAATAAAAAAAATTCAATTATAATAATCGAAGACTAATATTTGTTGTCTGATACTATTAGCGGAAACTAACATTTGTTATCTGACAGTATTAGCAAAATGTGATAAGTCATAATCAATATTTTGTTATTTCAATTAGATTTTTTATAGAATAACTTAAATTATAAAATAACTTAAAAATTATTTGAATTGGATTTTTAATTTATTTTAAAGGTTTATAGTTATAATTATTTAAAAAAAAATGTTTTATTTACACATAATAAAAAGTTAGGGACATGATTTCATTTTTTTTTTATTGAAGTTTAAGGGTTTATTTAGATATTGAACCAGAAAATGCAAAATTTTTTTCTAAAAATAAGGTGAAAAACTTTTAATTAGAGTATAGATGATAAGAAATAATTTTGATAATTTTTTTTAAAAATATTATATTAAATTACAATTTAAAAATATAATTTTTAAATATTTAAAATTTAAAATTTATAAATTTAAAAATAATAATCAAAATAAAGTTCGTTTTATATAAAAAAATAAATAATTGACATACATTGAGACGAAATTTTTTTTTTTTGTTAGCGTCTCCATTGTCATAAATGCCGTAAAAATGTTGGTTTAGGTAGTTTTGAAAAAAATTATTCACAAATCGGATCTATCTAATGATATATTTAAAAATTTATTCAAAATCCTTTGAAATATTTATTCAAAATTCAATTTGGTCTGTTCATTTAAATTCATTTAAGTCCATCAAATTTAAAATTTATTAATAAAATATTAACAAGAATTTATATTAATATTTTAAAATTAAAATTAAATAAAAATAATTATTTTATAATAAAATAATTTTACAAATTAAATTGAACTCAAACTTAAAATTTTTTTATCTAGTGATTAATCCATGTGAAATTAAGCCTACGTAAATATTTTTTTTAAATTAATTACATATTCAGATGATTAAGAATTTAATATTATACTCTCTCTATCCCTTATTATATATCCACTACAAATTTGCACAAATTTAAAAGAAAACTCAAGTTCATTTTTATCCTTTCACTTTTTTTTAGCACAAAAAAATATTTGTAAATCTTTTGACGCATGCCAACTTCCTAACCGAAACAAAATTCCTAAATTTTTCCCACTTATTGATTAATTCTCAGCCAATTTTCTTGAGGTAATTAATCATTATAATCATGATGTTTTAACTTTTAATGGTAACCAAAAACCACCAAGAAACAGAGTAATCTGATAAGTAATCATATTTGCAAATTATCTACTATTCTCAGGCATTGAAAAGCTCCTTACGGTCCTTAGCAGCTTCTGTTAAAGCAAGGAACCTTTTGAACCCCGTTGAAGCAGCACCACGTCCAAGAGCAGTTGCTCTTGTTAGCACATCCTCTCGAGAAGCTATAAATCCAACTGAAGCAGGATTTGAAATCGCTTGAACTGTAGTGGCAGGTGGCATTGTTTGGCCAACTGGTGTCAAACTCGAAGGTTGTGAGATTGTCGGTGCACCTTTGTTGAGGTCATCTAATATACTTTGTTGGTAAGATTTCTTGAGGTCCTTGAGCTCTGGAATACGGTGAAATTCTATTAGTGTTCCTTCAGGTAGCAATGCGCGGTATGCATCCGCAACAGAATACAGGAGATAGTATAAACTTCAAAAAATGCTTCAGCTTTGCTCATCTCTCGACTTACAAATTTTGATTAGCCAACAGCACCAGATGTCTGTCAACCAAGTGAAGGAATTTCCAAAATAATTGTCAGCTTGCGTACCTTTTGGCAAGAGGATAGCAGAAAAATAGCACCAAATGTCTGTCGACCAAGAGGATAGCAGGTCAACTGGCCTAAATGAAAATTTTCTCATGACGTACAACACATCTTTTAGCAAAACAATGATGCTTTAACTGCAATCAGCAGAAAAACAGAAAGCAAAGCATCCTGACTCAGATAGACCAACAGAGGATAACAAAATTCGGACAGACAGATCTAAACTCGCTCACCTCAAAGCTTGACTCCATGGCTCTACCGCTTACCTTGAGTGGCAAAATAGTTAAGAGCCATCCTAGAAAATCGACTTAGAGTGAAAAATATTTGAAATATGGCTCGACACTTTACAATTCCTTCCCTTATTATTCTTGCAGTTCGAGCCAACACTGGCCCTGATACCTCAGTTTTCTGATTGCTTACCACCTGCACCGAAGCTGATCAAGTAAAAATAAAGTAAAATTCATTGGTATCCATTTGAGAGGTCTTAGCAAATTTACTTAAAGAGCAATAAATGCATGGATAACCTGATGAAGCAATGTCTGTTAACCCACGCAATCTCTCCTCAGCTAAGCGAACGGCTCTAGTTGGGCTTCTAACACCTTGAGTAATCTCTTGCCTGTAAAACAAACAAACAATTGGTTACTATGACTTCAAGATAGCACTGAATATTATTTTTGTTATATCAATCAAAATGGGAGAAAATATACTGAATAAAAGCAGGAAAGGGAAAAGGAAAGGGAAAGGGAAGAGAGAATAGATATGAGAGTCTTCAATCGATCAAGTAAAATACTAACCCCAAATCACTAAGCTCCATTGTTAAGTCGCTAATCTCCATGCCTGATAACCGAACCGCAGCCATAGTATCAGGAAACTCTTCCCTGGTGACATCCATCAACTTCTCTAGTGACTCTGCTGACCCCTTGATTGCAGAGAAAAAGAGCCAAGCTGCTGAAACTGCCACCTAGAAAATGTTTGTGAATTTGTCAGAAGCATAACATAATGTCACCTCAAAACAGAACTTGCTGACTGTTTGATTAAGAGAGTGAGAAAGAACACTCCGCAAAAACATTTGAACTAAAAAATTTTCAAAAGCATAAGCTGTTCAAAACCTAAGTACCTTGCCTGTAAATTCCTCTCATGGATTATGGAACCAATAAGAAACAAAAATATAGGAAAATGCTAATTGTTACAGAAGAGAAATTTATTTGGAATCCCAGCATGGTGATCTTTGTTATAAGGCATCAATGGGACCTGATTCTTGCTTTAGATAGACCACATTAGTAATGATGCTGCAAGGATGTTGGCAAAGGATTTGAACGTGACTGCATTTATATGCAAAACCATGTTTCCAAATCCAAGAGATTTTCAAGCATGTTTAAAAGGATGAAAAACTTCTCAATTACTCGTACACTTAAGTGCTCTATATTTGGAGCAACCAAAGAACTTAAGGAGCTTCAGCCAGAACTAAAATGACCTTCCGGAAAGCATTTTGGGACAACCCAAATATTAATTTCTCTCTATCGTCTTTCAAGTTGAGTTCATTATGGAGTTGAAGTCTTTTATTAGGAGTTTAAAGGGCATTAGCAAGATACACTATATAGTCACATTGATATCTAGAATGGTTATTTTGCACATAGAATGGAACTAAAATTCATTTCTTTTGTTTCTTTTTTTCATTGGGAGAGGAGGGATTCTAACTCGGAACGTATCATTGACACAAATGCTCGAGTGGTGAATTCATTTGTATATGACTAGCAAAATTCATGAGGTTTTTTTTTTTTTTTTTTTCTTTAACCGAATAATGTTGTCAAATGCTGATTTAAATTTGCATTAATTTTAGTTACAACTTTGTTAACTAATTACAAGTACATTTCAATTTCATTCACAAAATCGGTGCGAATTTTCCAACAATAAGCAACAAAATTAAGGGAATAAAAATAGAAATAATTAAGGAGAACTGATAGCGCAAGCGATGACATTGAGCAAGAGGATGTGGCGGCTGGTGAGGGTCCATTGAGGGAGCTGGAGAGGGGAGGATCCAATGAAGGGGATATAATGAGTAGAAACCAATGACGATGACGTTGAACCATACTCTGATCGGACGTAAAGAGAAGCGACGCGGCAGAGCGAAAGGCGGAGATTATGAGACCGACGCTGCGGGCGGATATTAGTAAGAAACGCACGATTGATGGATTCAAGACAGAGGTCAACTGTCTATAATTTCAGCTTAATAAACAGTGTTTCTAATTAATGTATAAGTTTGAATTTCACTTCATTTTTAATGGTTTAAAAAGAAACGTTTTCTCTGATAGTATATTTTTTATGATTTTATGTTTGAACCTGATAAAAAAAAGGAAATGGAGGGTTTTTTTTTTTTATATTTATTTGAGGTTTATAAAATTATTGCTTTTTATTTAAATGATATAATATTATCAACTTTTGATATATTTAAATATTTTGAACTTAAAATGAAATATAACTACTTTTTAACTTGAAATAAATTAAATTTTTTTAAAAACCAAAATACATATTTTATAAAACTTTAATATTAAATTTCATAATAATTTATTTTTTTATATATATTAATATTAATTTACTCAAATAAAATTAAAAATGACATTTTTTATTTTTCAACATCATATTTATTTTAGACATTTTAATTTTTTATGATATTTTTTGCTGACAACGTCAACCACTTCAAAATCTCAAATGCACTTATTTTAAATCCAATTTTTTTCAATCACAAAAAATAATGTTAAATTAAACCAAATTATGAGATATGAGAATTGGTAGGGTAATCTTTTTTTTTCAACCCTCTTTGCAATGCTCTCAGATAGTTTGATCAAAGAGGAAATTTGGAAATTTTCCATGTAGACCAACATTTTAAATTTTAGTGAAGCTGAATGAATGAAATTAAGCTAATAAATAATTATAGACATGTTAATAATATGAATAGTATCTTTGGATTCTTTGTTCAGTTGTTGAACTACTCTCAGACTAGGAATCCAGACCCAAACACTTGAGAAATGCAAGCTTAGCAAGCCTGAGATAGTGACAAGGATGATAACAATTTTGATTTGCTTCCTTTGATGAACATCTCTCCTTTTCTACACTGTCTTCTCCTCCTCTTACTATACTTCTGCTTGTTCCTATGGCTATCTCACCCTTTATACTCTGGTTTTCTCCAACCTGCCAATACCCAATATCCATTATTAAACGCTATCCACACTCATATGTGCTTTTTTTAAATAAAAAATTAACAATTCATGTTAAAACCCACAACTGATTTGGCTTCCAAATTAATAATAGTTAAGATAGGGATGGAGATTCATTATGTGAAGTGAACAGAAATGTAACAATGGATAGTTTACATAAGAAAGGAAAAAAGCTAACAATAAGAGTTGCAATTCTCCGTTTTAACCGGCTAAAACTTTTTTTTTAACAAAGGAAGCTGAACCCTAGGATAGGGGAAGAAGTTATAAATGTTGGGATTTGAATTCCAGACCTTTTTAGTAACACCTCTTAAGAATGGAGACATGAACCAACTAAGCCGAGGTTCAGCTTCACAAAACTTGAAAGAAATATTAAAACTAACTAATGCAATTCTCTCTAATTCTATAGTTTCCATTGCTTTAAAATTATTTTGCTTCTCACCTCACCCATTTTTTTTTCTAGTCTAAAACAATAATAAACCCAAAAGAGAAAAAAGAAAAAGAAAATATAACTTCAAATCAAATCTTTCTTCTCATTCTCTGACAAACTTTTTCCTATTCATCCAAGCACAATACCTAGGAATAATCAGAAGATCAACAAGGTATATATATTCATCATTTTTAATAGTTTCTCCGCCCAAGTTTCGACAATTTTTCATTCTGGGTTGGCAAATAAACAGAAACACAGGGAAGAAATTAAGTACAGCCAACATATTGAAATTGCAAAGTGAGTTTTCAAACAAGTTAGACCGAAAGTATAACAAGTTTGACGCTAACCATACAACTTGAACAAATAAAAACGAGTTAAAATTAAAAGGAAAAAAAAAAAAAAAGAAGAAATTAGAGACAAGGTAGCCTCAACTGGAACAGTGAAAAAAATCAACTATACTCACTCCTCTCTCTCCTCTCTTTAAAAGGGATTAAAAATGTGCCTCCAAAGTAAATCTAAATAATGCTTACGAAAAGGACAAATTTCTAAAGGTAGGGTGAATGAATTATTAGTATAATTTAATAATAAGAACAGCATTAAGATATTTTATGCAATGCATCTTCGTTTATTTATTGCATAAAACAAAGTAGCTTTCACTTCAAACAGACAAGAAAATGAATATTCAATTGAAGAAGGAATTCCAGCCTTACGTCGACAGGCTATGACAAAAAAAATACAAGTGCGTGTCATATTCGTTTATGGGAGATAATATTAATTATCATCCATCTATAAGCATAAAACAATTCATCTATAAGTAATTATTTGAACTTAAAAAGAGTAAATTTTGGTTTTCCTATTCACAGGGCCCAAGCTCTGGTAAACAGTTGATCAGTCTAAAACATAGACCAAATTTCATTAGGCAACTAATCTTGAAAAAATAGTAGTGCTACTACACATTTAGCCTTATTAAAAACAGCAGGCAATGCAATTAGGTTCATTAATTAGGCAGCTAATCTTGAAAAATACTAGTACTACTCAATTAGCCTCATTTTGTTTTTGGTACAAGGGAGGCCCAAGCCTAAGGATAGAAGAAGGGGAATCGCAAGTGCTAGAAATTGAAACTCAGCCTTGCAATAATTCAACTCTTAAAAAAAATGAAAACCATTTGAGCTAAACCCATGTTTCAATTAGCCTCATTAATAAGTTTTCTTTTTTTTCCTCAATTAACATCATTAAAAACAGCAGGCACAGCAATTATGTTCAGTGGATAAAAAAGGGCATAGGAGTGAAGAAGAAAAACGTCTTCCTTCTTTACAAAATCTCCTCACCAATTAGAAATTATTGTGTGCTATAACATTAGCTTAAAAAAGAAAAAGAAAATTAGCTGTATCCTTTTACCATAGAAAAAAAAGGTAATAACAAGCTTCCAAGTTTTGATTTTAAAGAAGCATAAAGTGAAAAGAAATTTTGTTTACTTTCGCTGGGGGAGATTGGGTTTTGTGGCAGAACTTCCTTCGTGTTCAAATAAAGTCAGAACTAATGTAAACCTTTTAGGGTTGCGTTTGGTACGCCAACTACTACTATGAAAAGACATTCCTTCTTAGAAACGGTTTACCATTTCACTGTTTTACTAAAAAAAAAAGGGGGGGCTCAATAATGTTCACATGATTTCCAAAATCCACTGTATACTAATATAATATAAAAAAAAAAGGTTGATCCCAAACTATTGAAGAAATTAGCAAGAAATTCCAGTTTCTGAACCATTTCCAGCCTTCGGCTTTCTAAAAGCTATCCAATCTATAAAAAAAATTTATAAATTTTAGTTGCTAAAGTTTCTTTGGACTTGGTTTTCCAGGTGAAGAAAATATTAACCCGAAATAAGCCAACGGTCAGACCCAATTGAATAGAAAAACGTTGGGGGGAGATAAGTAGATTAAAGAGACAAGAAAATGGAAAGGCAGGGGGAGGTGGACATACCTGGGAAACCTGGAAGCAAGTGGAGACAAGTCTTGTATTATGCTTGAAACAGGAGTTTTATCCAAGTTAGGGGGAGATAAGTAGATTAAAGAGACAAGAAAATGGAAAGGCAGGGAGAAGGAGAAGTGGACATACCTGGGAAGCCCGGAAGCAAGTGGAGACAAGTCTTGTATTATGCTTGAAAACAGGGGTTTTATCTAAGTGGGATTCAGAGCAAACGGAAGCAGAAGCGGAGTCGGGGAGATCCAAAGCGAAGAGGCTGAAGCCATAGAGAAGAAGCATGAGAAGGAACATGACAAGTATTTGGATCCATATTAGCCATGGAATTCTGTAGCTTTCAATTGTTAGTTCATCTCCAAAATCAAACATATTTTGTTTTCTTTCTCTGGTCAAATATATATCAAAATTTAGAGGGAAATATAATTGAAGGGAAGTAGGGTAGGTGAGGAGGGATGGGAGAGCTGAAGAAAGAAAGGGGGTATGGTGGGTTAAAAATCGAAAGTTGAAATAAAAGGATCTGTAGCTTTTTACATGGTTGATTAATGGCAGCCAATTTTTTTTTTTAAATTTTATTATGTAGGCTGAAGCTGACTAATAAAGAAATTATATGGAAAATGCTAAGGACCACGCGCCCATTAGTTTGCGTGGTCCAGTTGCAGAGATGTTGAGAATGTTAAATGCTTAAAGACTAAAACATTTGACTATTACTCAACCTATAATTAAATATTTTATTTTATACAAAAAAAATTAAATATTATTGGCTTGTAATAATTTAGGCTCTCTTTAAATAAAAAAATTTGGGTGAAATGCACATATGATAATGTAGTGTCAAGAACTTAATGTCAAGCTAACGTCTCTTTTTTTTTTTTTTGTGAATTATTTATTCAGGTGGCTTAAATGGTCTCTACATTCATTTTCTTCCTGCTTTTCTCTCTCTACCATTTTACTCTCTTTCTCTCACATAAACTTTCTCTCGTTTTTCAAATCTAATTCTTTCAAAAACTATCAAATGTGAAATTTGAATAGTCTATCTTTTTATTATAGATGATTACCCCAATAAATTAATTAGCTTTTGAAAGAAAAAAAATAGAGATTTTATGTTAGAGAAATTTTGATTTTGAAAAAAAAAAAAAAACTCTTGTTCACTTTCTCATAGTTCTCAATCAAACAATTAAACCAAAAAAAAAAAAAAAAATTAACTACTTCATATAATTTGCAAAAAAAATTAAGAATTTCTCTATTTAATGCTTCATTACCGAATTGTTCAAAGTAAAATTTCTCTCGCTAATTCTTTTTTTTTTTTTTTTTTGACATTTACCTTAAATATTTGCTAGATATTTGGATGAAATCTCTACTAGACAGAGAACATTAAAAAGCAAGGAAGGTGGCAAAGTTATGTGGTATTCTATTGGTCATCTCCTTAGTTACAGAGATTTCATGGGTTGAAAGTTTGTAAAAAGTTAACCCATAAAGCTCGAGACCAAATAAAAGATAATTGTTGATATTCAATTCTACTTTCATAAGACAATCAATGGTAATTGGTATGAATCCAAATTCCCTTATGATAGTTGAAGCCTCTGGTAGTTAAAAATCTCTTACTCTAGTTTTGTTAATGGCGAATGATCACTGACTGAGTTATAATCCAAACTCCAAGTTGAAAAACTCATATTTGAGACTTAAAAGCATTCGGGTTTAGGAAATGATTTGCTAAATTTTTTCAAACTCAAAATTTGCTAACCCTAAATGTCATAGAGAAAATAAAGAAAATAAACTTTTGAAAGGGAAAGAAAGGAAGAAAGAGGAAGTTTTTTTATAAAACTAATATAAATTATCTTAAATTACATGTATGCATGTGTGTTGGCAGTCATATTGACACATATAATTGCCATCTGTCATCGTTAATTAATATAACTGTGCGTGTTATTCATTCTCGTTAAAAGATCCTAATTTGTGCAAATTCGAAAATATTTGGTTTTAAATTGTATCAAATAAAACGTTTGATTCTTAATTGAGAATTATTCAAAAGTTAAATCTTAAATTAAGTATTTAGTTTACTGGGAAAATGTTATTTTTTCAAAGGGTGTGTTTAACAAAAACTAGATTCCCGGTAGCCAAAAGAAAAAAAAATCTTGATCTTTTTTATTGTTTTATTTATTATTTACATTTTTATCAATGTTTTTCTTTTTATTTTGCCAAAAATAAATTTCCTTTGTTTCATAAATAAAAAGAAGAAAAGTTATATTAATTGAATATATCACCTACAATTATTATAGTATAATTAATTAATTATAATTCAAAATTATATAGGATCTATTAAAATTTTACATGAAACCCACATTTATAAGTAGTGGATTCTTATATAAATTTCTATTTTGATTGGATAATTATAGCATTGTAATAAAAAAAATTATAGTTGATATGCTTTCTTAACTGATAAGATGGGATGCCTAACTGTGAGGCCATGAATGGCAATATAGGGTGCATACTATAATAATTGTACTTCAATTAACTAATCAGATTTTAAAGTTATGTAGGGTCTACCAAAATATTATGTGAAATCTATTTTTATAAGTTATAAAACCTTCATATAATCATTAATTGTGATTGGACAATTATAGCATTGTAATAAAAAGAATTATACCCCAATATCAAGCAATTTTAGTAAGATTTTAAGAGTGTTCCTAAATGCTTTTTTTTTTTTTTATTTGATTTTTGCCGAAGAGAGGGATGCAAATGTAATGATAGAATGTTTTAGACACTTTAAAAATTAGAAAATTAAAAGTGCAAAAAAATTTGAACATTCTCACTGTTTTTTCACCTTAATTTTTTTTTCTAAATATATAGTTTTTAATTTCCTAACTATCTTATTAATTGCCATTATCTAATACTTAATCACAATCCACAATTAGCCAATATCCACTATAATAAATGAACACCTTAACAAAATTTTAGATGCGTTACAAAGCTAAACTATTATTGATAAAGGGCACATTAAATCTTAAACTAAGATGCAAGGTTTTTAAAAATTAGATCTAATAATTTAAGACACGATACAATAACACAATATAGATATAATACGAAAAAATGACACAAAAATAACATGATTTTAAAATTTTAGTAATAATTACATGAGTTTAACAAACCAAAAAATATATTTCATATTTTCATGTAAATACGAATTTTTCATGTAAAATATGACATGCATACATGAATTCTAATTTTTATATGACATAAATATATAAATTGTCGATCTATTGAAAACCTTAAGCAATGAGTAAGGTTGTTATTAAAATTATACAAAAATACTACAATCAAATATTTTTTAATATTTTATAGCAATTGTGCATTAAGTTTATCTAATGTTATTTTAATTTTCCTTTATCGCACTTTTTAAATCGCTCTAATAGAAAAATATATATTTTTACAAAGGCTCCAATTATACTAAACCGACTTTTTAACTATATACTACTAGAATAATTTAGTTTTGTTCTTCTTATACTTGACCTTAACATTAACAACAAATATAGAATAAAGTTTATTGCATTAAGTTTTGTTCTTCTTAGCATTAACAAAATCCATCATAGAGAATAAAACCATTAATAAAGTTAAATATGTCACCAAAATTTATAGCTAGTTGTTGTTCTATGTAATCATTAATAAAATTCTTCTACTAGTATTATCTAATCTTGTTGGTTGGTTTGGTCTACAATAATTCCATCCATCTAAACCACAAATTTGTATGTAAATTTCATGCATGAACCAAAATAGGGTAATTTCAATATTCATTCCTTTATACACCCTCTTATCCATTTCCACTAATTGTCGAAAGCACATCCAAACCAAATTATCTCTTTAATCTATATCCAATACAAATATGTTTAGTATTATATGCTCCCTTATGCATTTCCACCAATGGTCCCAAGCACATCCAAACCAAATTACCTCTTTGATCTATATCCAATGCAAATCTGTTGCACCAAATAAAATGGAGTATTTCCAAACTATTGTAGCAATAGTATGTTTGGATGTTCAAAGCCTAACAAAGAGGCTAAGCCTGAAGAAGTTAATATTGCCATAATTGTAGGTGTATCCAATAACTCAACTAGTACCTAGCCTGGCGACCTCTCTACTATGGCCTTTTCTTATTCTAGTTTCATCAACGTCCATTAGTGGGGGAGTCTAAAACCTCAACAACGCCGCCACCTCTAGGGATGAAACTCAAACACCACCAACCCCTTTAACCTCGAAAGCCCCAACAACACCATGGCCAACAACAATTGCCTATTGTACAACCATCCCAAATGATCAAGAAACATAAGCAAAAAATCCTGTGTCTTTCAATTGTTGTTCATTCATTCCCTGTCATCATCCCTAACATGCAAGTTCCAAGCCTATTCTGTTGGGTTAACATAATAGATTCACAAAAGCAATTTTGGAACTCGAGTGATCGGCATTTTTGTTCAGGTATCTAAAGATAGGGTAAGCCTTTCCGTTCAAGAGAGTCCTAAGTGCCTCCCTTCGTTAGTTGCTGAGTTAGCACTACAGTAGTTAAGTTTTCCTACTCTAGAAATGCTTTTCTTGCAGTGTAGCCATGTAAACAATTGTGTTACAAAAGGAATTAGGTGTAGGATGGCAAGCCTTGGAATGTGAAAAAAGAGCTGAAAAAGATAGGATACGGCTACTTGACGAGTCTTTATCCATGAAGTGTGTGACACGTCTGAACCTTTGTGTATCCATGTCATAGATTCGACATTTCATCACTTGCAACATATTGAAATAATTGTTGAACTTGACCAGATACTGCAAAGAAAAAAAAAACTATTCTTTTATTGTTATATCTATATACTCTTTTGTTGTTATATCTATATGCCCTTTTATTATTGTGGATAATGACATCATATGTTTATCATCAATTTTTTTCATAAAGATAATTATCTTTTAAAATCAACTCAATATCTATTAGATATTTTTAATTAATGATTATAATATATAAAAAATATTTTTTTTATTGTTATGTTTTGTCGTACATGTATCTTCACTTTTAAAAATTATCATGTTGTCCATATCGTATTGTATCGACTCATATTATATGTCTGTATTTGTGCTTCATAAGCCTTTGTGGACAACGTATTGTAAGAGAAAAAATTGCCTATGGGGTTAAGCGAAAGTCGACGGAGGAGGACTTAAATGTGATGTAACACCTTAGGCCAATGTCAATGGACAATAGGGGCTGAGGTATTGCTAGGGAGTTCTAAGACCGAGGGCCTAGATACAGAGTTAGCATACATTAGGGCCTATTTATATTAAGTCGTCAGCTTCAAGGATTCCTCGACTTTTTACATGTTGAGCCCGGATGGAAATAATGGGCTTGAGCTAATATGTTTCTTGTGAGTATATGATTCTAATCTAGTGCTTCAAATTTGAACTCTCTTTTAAAATAATCCAGAAATATAATCACATGAAGCTAACAGAAACAAAAAATCTAAAT